TCTGTATATGTAATTCTCTAACAAAAGACAACTATTTGCTATACCAATAAATACCGATGTGGGACTTCACTCGGGTTCTCGGTTGGTGGGAAGCCAAGAACCTTGACTCCCCCATCTTTTGAACTGTTGTTCATCTTAATCATTTCTCCGTCTATAACATATCATTTCTTTATTTCTTATTTCCACATCCTTAGCAACAATCCTGCCTTGGGACCTGTTTGCACTGGGAGGGTGGCCAATTCCCAGCAGTGGGGACCAAGGACGGCCCAGAGTCCCTGGGCCACTGAGATGCTGCCCATCCTCCCCCACCTTTCCCATGATGCCCACACCCAGGAGCCTACATTCAGATATTTTATAAATATCTAGTAATTTATAGATACTAGATAGAAAGGTCATAGTAATTACAACAGCAAAGAGGGAAATTGCTGGGGCCAGAGAGGGCAGTTTCCAACTAAGGATACATGAGAATTTCCTGTAAGGTAAAGGAAGCTTTTCCAATCAACTAGGAAAAGATAGTTTAGGCCTCAAATCATAATTAATTTTATTATAATAATTTACAAAACAGAATTCTTAACTCATAACAGATAAGCTCCAAATAAAATACAAGTTTCAATTTTTCAGAGGAAATTGTAAAACACCAATCATAAAAGTAAAACAATATAAGAAAATTTAGGTGAATATTTTAATATTATTTTCATAACCAACCAAAGTTTGAAAACTGACACGTTATCAAAACCAGAAGCTATAAATCAGAATATTGAAGCTATAAATAAGAATATTGATCTATGTAATAAAAATACGCCAATTTTTTCTCATAGATAAGATTAAGACAAATTAACAACTGAGTTTAAAATATCTGTATTATATGAGATTTTATGAACTTGACAAAATGATTCTAAAGTTAATTAGATAACAGGAAATAAAAATTTAAAAGATAAAAATGATACACAACTTGCATCAGTGCACATTAAAATTGTATAACATTAAAACGAAGCTGCAATTACTACAGTATTATTCCAGCACAGAAATAGGCTGGCATTAGGTAAACCTGTCTAAAAGTACGGATACTGATCCCATGGTGTATAGGGAGTTATAAGTAATAATTTTGGATAGTGAGGAAAGGAAGGGTTATTCAATAAACGATGCTCAGCCAATTAGTTAATTCTAAGGAGAAAAATAAAGCTGGATTAGAAACACCAAAATATATTCAACGTGGCTCTCAGGGTAATGCTTCAATAATAATTCTTGGTAAATTTAGAAGTATAAGAAAAATCAGGTAAACACTACAGACAATATAAGACTTTTCTGGAAAATGTCTGCTACAGATCCAGTAACACAAGGGTTGATAAGAACATTGAAACACAGGAATTTACTCTTGTGACTAGTGGGAGTGTGTGTCATCCTGGGGACTCCGTACCAAGGCTGAAGGTCCGTGTGACCATCAGCCTAACTGCTCTCCTTCCAAGTCATCTCCCTTGAGAAACACAAGCACGTGTGCAGAGACACATGCAAGGACGTCCGTGGCAGCACAGTTTCAAACAATGTAAACACAAAATCAACCTAGCCACTCTTTAACAAGGTAATAGATAAATAACCCATAGTGTAGTTGTACAATAAATTGATAAATAAGATGTATGTCTACCAACTCAGGGACGTCTTCCAAAATATTAAACGAATAAAATGAGATTGGGTTAAGAATCATAATTCATATATAACTATCTAAAGCATAAAGATAGATAGCATATATGTGCATATGCACTATAGTAACTATATGTGCATATGCACTGTAGTATATATAGTAACTATATATACATACATATATATGTATAATAAACAAATACAAAGTTAAAATATCAATAGAAATGAAAACTATGTATGCCAAAAAAGGCCCACCAAATTTAAGGTGGTGGTAACCTAAATTTCCTAAATTCACCTAAATTTTCTTATATTATTTTACTTTTATAATTTCCCTTGAAAAATTAAAACTTGTATTTTATTTATAACTTATCTGTTCTGAGTTAAGGATTCTGTTTTGTAACTTATTTTAATAAAATTAATTATCATTTGAGGCCAGGGAGGGGGATGGTTTTAACTATGTATTTAATGTTTCATTGTAAAAAAATTATATAAAACAAATAGTGTAAGAAAATAATGTCTGTTAATGCCAAATAGCATGCACATGAATGCTTGCTACATTTTTCTTAATTTTTCCATGAAGAAAAATAAACAATTTTTAAATTTACTATTAGAATTTTAGAATTTATAATTTTAAAATGATTAAAGAATAGAAAATGTAGATGAAAGTTTAGGTCTTCTCAGATGAGAAATATATCTTTAGATTACACAAGTAGGATAAAATATAGAATAAAAATTGCATACAAATTAAGATACATTAGAAAATATAATCAGACAAATTAAAATGAAATTTCAAACCTGAGAAACTATTTATAAATTTATAGAGTCAGAAGAATTAATAATATGAAAAATGCCATTTTAGAAAAATGGACAAAGATAATAACTGACAAATCAAGAAAAGAAGAAATTATAGATACTCATTGTCACATCAGGCAAAAAATGTGGAAAAGCAATAAAAAAGTAATATTTCCAAGGCAAATAATTCCAAAGTATTATAGGTAAAGCAAGGAGTTGGAGGGTTTAGTTTCAAGTAGAAGACAATCTTTATTTTCCTACCTTTCCCATGTTTAGATGTGGAGTAGTAGGCATGGGTTTAGTGGACCAGGAGGGCTGAAGTGGGGAGGGAAGGAGTCGAGGAGATGCAGAGAGGTGACAGGGCTGAGGGAGAGCCAGGCAGAGGGAGGTGGCGGGAGGGTACCGGGAGCCCTGCAAAGACCATGAAATTAGTGTAGAGGGTCATCAAGATGTCATTGAGGAAGTGGTCCTCAAACAGTGTTGAGCATAAAAATAAGGCCAAAAATGTAGGCACATTAGGGTTCTAAACTTTTTATTTAAAAAATCTGTATATGCAGAGGGGATTTTTTTTAAAAAAGCATAGAAGACATATATCTAATAGCTACATGATGCCAGGGATTCTTTTTTGGTGCTGAGTGATTTGTGATTTTAATATCTTCATGTTTTTGTGTTTCCTAAAATTGCTTGAATACTTTTTTTAAAGTAAATGAAAAGGAGTTAATTGACTTCCTTTTATAACACTATGGTGAACCAAATACCTTGAAAACCCCTCCTGCTGAAAATAATTTAAAAACAATAGAAAAGTTTTAAAATATTTTTTAAATGAGGGGCAAGATAATAAAAATTCAAAGGCTGGAAAAGAAGTGAAAGTGGGGACCACATTGTCAAGTGGCTTTAGCCCACTGTCCCTGTGAGGGACACAAACCACACCCCAGGGGAAGATGCTGAGCTACTGAGACTCCAACGGCTGAGGCGGAGGGACACTGAGACCCAGGGACCATGGGCCAGGGACAGTAAGGAAATGGAGCCGTCCCCCTTCCGCACTTCAGGAGCCCAGCAGGCAGGCTGGCCCCGTGTGGGCTGCTGCTCTGAATTCATCCTTCTCACAGTGCCTCAGAGATCTCTAGTTGAGAATTTATCCTAAAGAAGTCCCAGATGGATGGTGGCTCCCAGCCAGATCAATCTCAGAAACATAATGGTGAGCAAAATAAGCAAGGATAAGTACCCTGGCAGAATAAATACGGTGTGCTTCCATTTCAATGCTTTCCAAAAATATAAAAAAGTAATCATGTATTGTTTAGAGATGCATGTGGCAAAATTTTTAAGAAAAGCACTACATATAGCTTCAAAATATAAGACTCCCAATTCTACATAGTGGTAGACCTAAATACACCACTTTCACAAAGGGTCAGATAAAGTAGATCAAATAATTCAGGATAAAATGCAATCACCACGATTGCATTTATTCATGAGGGAACATGCTTTCCCTACCTGTATAATTTTCAAAAACATACATAATTTTCAAAGATTTTCAAACCATACCCTGAACCACGAAGATAATCCTCATAAATTTCAAGAGGTTAATATCATTCAAACTACATTTATTTTCACAAGCAATAAAATTAGAGAACAATGAAAAACAAACATTTATATAACTTTTAAAAAAATCAAATAAAACAAATTGCAAACCGTTTGTAACTGAATAATAAATGAGAGCACCGTATCTCCAATTCCCAGCCATGAGAGAGCAGAAGGGACATTTAGAACAATAGGTATTCTTAAGTGCCTTGATTAGAGTCAAAGAGAGATTAAAAATAAATTAAATTAAGCTTTGCACTCAAGAATCCAGGAGAAAAAAAATGGCACAATAAACCCAAAGAAATTAGAAGAAAAAAATTAGTGAGAAGGAAAAACAATTTAATTCAATAAAATAAACCCCCACACAAAGCCTGCAGATAATCAACAGCACCAAACGAAAGTTCTATGAAATCACTAATAAAATAAACTTTGGGTAAATACCATAAAAAATAAAACATGGAAGACACAGATAAAGTAATACAAGAAACAAAAGGCACACAGGGGTGCTGACGTGGCCCAAAGAGTCATATGTTATAAAAGATTGATGTGCAACTTTAGTTCAATAAAAATAAAGGTTGGCTTGAGAACCATGGCCTATATTGGCAACTCCTCTCCGTCCTAATTTATTCCTGCAAGAAGGTTTCCTATGAGATTACCATTAAATGTGTTTCTTGTGTGATAACCCACACTGAAAAGCAGGTATTTTAAACAAAGAATATTATTGAAAAGTAGAGGCCTTAGGAGACAAAGGGCAAATATGAAAATTAGTATGGGTCACATTATTTCTCTCCGTTTACATGTGATATAAATAAGAGGTACATTCATCCCAATGAGAAGATGAGCTGCAAGTTTGAAAATTGTCAGAATCTCTGGTCTGGTTCGGGAGGGAGGCGACCGTCCCCCGCGTGCGTCACTAGGGCACCGGCCTCGCGGGGCGCACCCCCCCTGCCGCACCTGCGTCACTTCCGCCCGGAAGCACGTGACTTATTACCTATGAGGCCGCGGCAGCCAGGAGCACACACAAGGTCCCCAGTATGATTTCAGTTACGGTTTTCCAACGCACGGGAAAAAATAACACCCCATAAAATGTTCACTTCCATCTCGGAAGAGGAAGATGATGGCCAGTGGTTGGTTCCAGGAGCCAAACGCCTCCACTTCTTTGCCAGGCAGATGTCTTCTGCACCATCTCCCGCCGGCTGTCTCTCGGTTTCCGGGCTGTCCGGAGGCTCTGAAGTCTGTCCGGTGTGGCGGCCATGCACGCGTTCAGCAAACGGTCACCAGGCCTCGGGAGTCCGCGCCTCCTGACACCCACCACTGCGGGCGTCCCCACGTCCCTGCCAAGCCTCGGCCTCTGTCAACCCCTCTGGTACTCGGCACTTAGCTTCTCCGCTTGGGAAAATGCAGTGCGGAGAGCGGCTCCCAAAAAGGACCACTTTAAGAAGAGATTGTCCCAACTTTGATCACCTTCTGGTGCACAGGCTATATTTGAGCCTTGAGGATTTTCACTACAAACAAAATTCCAGAAGAAAGATTCAAAACCTGTATCCGTGACTCAGATGTTTAATAAGCATTGTGATCTCAGTCAGATTTTATAACAATATTTTTAGCTCAGGCCAGCGAACTCCATAAAGCAGACCATGAACACTCCCCAGAAGGAGAGACTAGCTGTACCCACCCCTGAGGTAGATGTTCCCCAACTGAAATGCCTGTAGCCATGAAACTGCAGCCTTCCTTCCATTTAATATTGAACAGTGATGCACAAATCCCTTCAGACCTGGGGTAGAGAGAAGGAAAACATATAAACAACTCTAGGCCAACCTAAGGGATAGTTTAGAGTTATTTTGCCAGCAAGAGATTGTTATTGAAAATAATCATAGTTTGTGGCATTTTCACCTGCTGTGATTCTCCCCAAGAGCAGCCTGCTCCATGAGCTGAAGGATGGCAGATTTTCTTGGCCTAGCCCACATCTGTCCATCCACCACTTGGTTATTCTTCACGACAGCCCCTGAGACAGGCGGCAGATCTTCCCTGTTCCCGTCCTAACCCAGCGCCCGGACCTTTGCCCTCATCTCTTCTGACCCAGGCACTGAAGTCTTCTAGCATTCGCCAGTTCAGGGGCATGGTCCCATGGGACCTTTTGGTCTTGGAGGTGCCACAAGAGTTAAGTCACCTCTGTATTGCTGCTTCCCAGATAACTCAGAGATTAACACTGGGCTCAAGCATATTTATTTCAAAATATAATATTTCAGGAAATGTATCTCAGTATATAAACTGTGGGTCAAACCCCATGAGCCATTGCAGAGACTCCAGAGAACACGGCCCCTCCACTCCCCTTCTCTTTAAATCTAGCCCTTCAACCATCAGGCTACTTTTAATCTGGTAAGAACCATTCTAAAACTATGTCCATTATACCTTATAAAAATATGAATACATATAAATGGAAATAAATGCCATCATATATTTACATTTATAAATGAGGATTTGTGTGGTTTCCATAGTTTCTAATTACCTCATTTATTTATGCTTAATAGGTGATAAATATATGTAGCACAAATTTCAAAACATCCAAAAGTGTATACATAGGTGTACTGGGTTGAACAATGTCCCTCGAAAATTCACATCCACCTAGAATCCCAGAATGTGACCTTACTTGGAAATAGGGCCTTTGCAGAGCTGATTTTTTTTTTTCAGTATTTCAAGATAAAATTATCCTGGACTTAGAGTCAGCTCTGAATCCAATGACTGGGCCCCTTATAAGAAGAGGAGAGGACACACAGAGTCACAGAGGCAAACAGGTCACATGAAGACAGGGGCAAAGACTGAAGCAGACGCTGCCACAAGCCCAGGAAGCCCTGGAGCCACCAGGAGCTGGAAGAGGCAAGGAAGCATTCTCCCCTAGAGATTCAGAGAGCTCATGGTCCTGCCGACACCTGGATTTCAGACTTCTTGATTTCAGGTTTTAGCCTTTGGGAAGTGTGGGAGAATAAAGTCCAGTTGTTTTAAAGTACCAAGTTTGTGGTCATTTTTTATGGCAGCCACAGGAAACTAATACAAAAACAAAGAATGTAACCCACCACCTGTCTTGGCCCTGCCCCCAATTTCCTTTCCTGAGCACTCACTGAGGGTAGTTTCTGGTATATATTTCCAGAACCTACTGATGTTTATCAAGCACATTCACCTCTATGTGCTCTTTCAGCAGATGGTAGCAGTCCACTATTCTGTACGTGACTTTTTTCTCTTAATAATAAACCTTGGAGTTCATATTAGTTTATATACCACTATTTCATTCTTTTACTGCTGTGCAATCTTCATTTAATTATTTTTTCCTTATATTTTGCTGCTATAAACAATGCTGCAGTGAATGCCCCTGCACACATAGCATTTGCGTATGTCTATGTATGTCTATGTCTATGTCTATGTATGTTATCTATGGCTACATTCCTAGCAATGGAATTACTGGACAAAGGATGTATGCTTTTTAAATTTTAGTAGTTAGAGCTAAACTGTGCTCTCCCTGCAATGCGTATAAGTGCCAGTGTCCCTGCACCCATCAGAGTACCTGATCTCTATCAACCATCCTGATCTCTGACAATCTGATATGTGAAAAATGACATGATGATTTCTGATGACCATCTATTCATATAGATAGGAGCAATTTTTCATTTCCTTTCTTGAAAAAGGTTAAAATCCTTTTCTATTTTTCTGTTGGTTTGTTGAGGATTTTATTGATTTACAGGAGCTCTTTATTAGGGTAAAAAATGTATTTTTCTGTGATATAAATTGCATGTAACTTCCTGAAACTGTTTTTCTTTCTTTCTTTCTTTTTTTATGTCTTCTAACCTTGTTTATGGTGATGGGTGGTTGCCATGATTTTTTAAAAAAATTGTATGTATTTGATTTATCAAAGTTTTTGTTTTACATTACTATATATTTTTTATTTTGGCATAATATGCACAACATAAAGTTTTCCATCTTAACCAGTTTCAAGTGTACAGTTCAGCATCATTAAGTATTTTTTAAATACATTCACATTATGGGACAATCACCACCATCCATCTCCTGAACTCTCATCTTGCAAAACTGAAATTCTGTATCCATAAAACAGTAACTCCTACTCCCTCTCCCTGTGCCCCTGGCAGCCACCATTCGTCCTACTTAAGCTGCCGTACTTTATATCATACTTTAAAAGACATTTCCTGATCCTTATCAACATTCTCTCATATTTTATGATAGGTGCTTTTTTTGTTTGTTTGTTTTGGATTTTAGATATAAACATTTGACCTATCTGTAGTTTACTTGGTGAAGACGTAAATTTATTTGGATATATGGTTTCTCCAAATACCATTTATTAATCTATTCCCTCTTGGTTTTTAGAACATTTTATTTATTAATTTTAATTAAAAATAAAAGTCATATACATTTATTGTGTATAACATGTTGTTTTGAAACATGTCTACATTGTGGAATGGCTAAGTCGAGCCAATTAACATATGCATTATTTCACATACTTATTATTTTTTGTGGTGAGAACAGGTAAATTGACTGTCTTTGTAATTTTCAAGACTACAATACCTTGCTCTTAACTACAGTCACCATTCTGTTATTCCGTACTAATTTTACCCAACTCGGTTGTATGAATTCGGGTTTATTCGCACTTTCTATTCATCTCATTTATCTTTCATACCATGAGCAGGCACCACACTCTTTAAATTATAAAAATTTTTAAAATCTATTTCAACTTCTGATAAAACTGCTCCCCCATCATGACTTCTTTTTTTTTTTTTTTTTTTAATTTCAGGATATTATGGGGGCACAATTTGGTTACATGTTATGACTCCATCATGACTTGTGCTTAGAATTTTCCTAGCAATTCTTATTTGTTTATTTTTAAATACAAGCTTTATAATTATTAATAGTTTGTCTAGATTCCACACAAACATATTTTGGTGGTACTTTATTGCACTTATGCTAAATGTAAGAATTAATATAGTGGCGATCAGTATCCTCCTGATGCTAATTCTCACCCCAGCGGTGGTGCACCTTTCCTCTTGCCCATGTCTTCTTTGGTATTGTTCTTCGGCATTTTAAACAGCTCTTCATATAAATTTTGTATATCACTTATTAAGTTTATTTCTAAATGCGTATTTATTATTGCTAAAAAATAATAGTCTCTTCTGTCATTAAATAATTGAACTTTTTGTAGTTTGTACACATGAAGCCAATTATTTCTGTGTATTAATTTTGTACTTAACTGATTGTATCCTCTTTGTAATATTTTCTTCTACTGATTTTCATAGATTTTCCAAGCATATATTATCCGCAAATAATGACCACTTTGTCTTCTGTTTTACTTATTTAGTTTTTACTTTTAGCATTAGCTAGTAGTTTTGAAACAATGTTAAGTATTAGTGAAAATGTTTCACATCCTTGTCTTTTACCTAATTTCAATGGAAGAGATTCTTTTCTTCTCTCATGAAACATGATACTGGCTGTTAATTTGAGATTACACACACACACACACACACACACACACACACACACTCCAAGATTTTTAAACATTAAGGAAGTGTATATTCTTATTTTATTAAAGGTTTGATAAAAAAATAAATGGCAACTTTTAAAAAGATATCTTTTCAGTATCTGCAGAGATGATAGCATTTTTACATATAAAAGTATCAATTACAATAATGAAATTGAATTATATTCAGACAATTATATTAGAGATTCCCCAGCATGGAACTATATTCCATCCTTTAAATAAAGCAGAAATTGGTCAATCCTTTTAATATCCTTTTAATGTTGGAATATTTTAAACTAGGATATAGTATTTAGAATTTTGCATCAATATGTATGTCAGGTTAGTCATTAGTTTTCTTATTTTTTTATTGTTGTTATACTTTTAAAAATATTATTTAAATATTTTGAAAATTTTTCTGCTTTTTCTTGATTCTTGAACAGTTTAAATAGACTTAGAATACTTACCTATTCTTTAAAGTTTGGGTAGCATTTCTATCAATGAATTTTGTTACTCCAATTTCTTTTGTGGTTATGCCTTTGTTTATGGTGTTTGGTTTTGTGTTAGAGTGAGTGTCTTTTGCTAGCATAGAGGACTTTATTCAATTTTTATTTCAGTAATGAACTTTATGGCTTTCACACTATTCAAAACTCACTCCTCTTTTTCTCAAACAGTATGCATTCCTTCCCTATTGCAGCCATGCAGCTAGTGAATCTCCAGTGCTAAACACCTCGCCTTTGTTCCACCACTATATTTTAGTTGATTATTATTTTAGCATTTATTTTTAAAGTTTAAAAATACTTATCCCTCTATTGGTTTTTTTATCACTTTTGAAATTATTATCTTGACACCAGCTATAAGAAACAAGGGTATCAGAATGTTTAAATCACCTTTTACCCTCTCTTCTATTTCCTTTGAAGTAGTGTTTACTTGGCGCTTTCTGTAGGATTAGCATTAGGGTATGCAGCATTTATATCAGATTCTCTAGTCAAAAATTCCACATTTGCTTTAGTCCTAGTTCATTAAATAGATTTAGCTCCAATTGCCTTTTTATCCATTCATCTGTTGCTCAGCTGACATTTGTCTTCAGTACTTTCTTCAGAACCAGTTCAAAAGGTCTATCAGATTTTTAAAGGTTTGTTCTCCTGTCTTTATAATTGAAAGCTTGGAATAGAATTTTGGTCATTATTTCCTTTCCATGAGACCTTGAAAATACTGCTCTACTGTCTTTTAATATTGAATGTTTATATGGAAAAATCTAAGGCATGAAGCCAGTGGTGGTTTTTTTGTTCACTAAATGTGACCTAATCATATACATAGATGTAAAGAAATTGTTTCACTATTTCTCTATTCTTGAAGTTGAATATTTTTTTTTAGTAGAGACAGAGTCTTCCTCTGTTGCCCTTGCTAAAGTACAGTGGCGTGATCAATCATAGCTCACCGTAACTTCAAACTCCTGGGCTCAAACAATTCTCCTACTTCAACCTCCCAAAATGCTGGAATTATAAGCATGAGCAACTGTACCCAGCCAAAGTACCATATTTTTGTTAGTATACATTTAATATGTGATGTTATGTATCACTTTTTCCTGAACGATCAATTTAAAAATTCTAATTTGTCTTTTCTATGTAATGTTTTCTTTAAATATTCCTGTAGTTTTGCCCTTACAACATATCTCATCTGCTTCAACTATCAGACAATTAACAGACAGTATAGTTCTCCAACAAACTATAATTTTTTATTTAGAGTTTCGCTATTGGAAGATTCAGGGGTCAACAATCTTCTCACTTGTCTTGAGATTTCTCTTCTGATTCAAGTACTGTTTCAGAAACTTTCACAAGTATTTTCTGCAGCTCTACTCATTAGGTGATATATTCTAAATCAATGCACGTCAAAAAATATCTCCTTTAGCCCTGACAAGTGAGTGATATTTTGGTTCGGCATATGTTCTTGGGTCTTTTCAGTATTTTGTAGATGTTATTTCACTCTTACTAAGGGCTGATGCTAGAGAAAAGAAGTGTAATGCTATTGTTATTTCAGTTTTAAGTACTCTTTTTTTTTCATATGAAACTTAAACAATTTTCTCTTTATACTTGCAATGTCAGAATTTTAAATAGGTATGTTTAGGCATCTTTTCATTTACTTTTTAAATTAATTCTCTCACTCCCTATGAGCCTTTTCAGTCTGCAGACTCAAGACTCTCAGAGACATTTTTCTTTATTATTTAATTTTTATCTCTCTTGGTGCTATGTATTTTTTCTCTTTGGATTGCTTATTTGCTTATTGCATTTCCTAAAAGTACTTTCAGTTTATAATATCTTTACTTTTATTATTTCCATTCCTTTGGCACTTTTGTTCTACAATTGTGAAATATTTTTCCAGTTTGCTTCTAAGATTTGAATTTGAGAAAGTTATGTTTGTGCTCTAATTGAATCTCCTTTTGAGTCTTACTACTTTTTTATTAAAATTGTTGACTGGCTTTTCCACCAGTT